TTGAAAGGTGTATGATTTATTTTATCCAGTACTGTATAATATAAAATTTCCAAAGAGAATAGAAAGTCAAAATAATGTCATTTATCTTGTTGACCAAAAAATGACAAAAAACGTCATTTTTACATCATTTTTACCATAAACAATGCCAAATTGACATTATTTTGATTTTCTGTTTTCCTTGGGTTGTATATACTACAAATTGATTTATTGTATACACAACAATTACAAATAAACGAAATTATTTGCATCTTATCTTCTATAAATATTTTTATTTGCTATTCTACATTTATATATATTTTGGTTTTTATATTTGTTTGTATGTACTTTTATTGTGTTTTTTTATGTGCCATAATAATTTTAATAATTTAATTACTTCTTTTATATATATTAATATATTAATTTCTACAGGGTGAGTCATTTTAATCTATGGATCCGAATATCTTCCAAATTACGGTATCTACAAAAAAATGGTTTAGATAAAAGTTGACCAGGACAGAGGGGGTCATTTAATTGTACCATTGGTTTTGATCTTGAGGTCAATTTTGAAGGTTATTTCAAGGTCACAATGGTTTTTTAAATGGGACACCCTATTTTCGACTGCGGATTTTAAAAGAACGGAAAATTTTACATCAAACTTGTCTTATGAAAAAATTGTTTTTGCGACCTTGGAAAGGTCAAAAATGAAAGTGAAATGCCTGAAAAACGATCTGGTGTAGTTTTTCTGAAATGACGTGGTTTTCTGGGTAACACAAATGTGCATAATGCTTAAACAAAGTCAATGAATTGTAAAAGTGTAAATCACTTTGACTAGCTTGACCTTGAGGTCAATTTTCAAGGTTGTTTGAGGCTCATAACGCATTTTTTTGATTAGTAAACCCTATTTTTGACCGCTGAATCTGTTTCTTGACAATGGGCTCTTAAACAATGGCACTTTTTACATGTACACGATACACTTTTGTATACTACATGATACACTTTTGTATACTGTGGCGGCTCACCGCCACACAGCTGTACTGAAGCGGCATAATACGCCGCGGACGATTGCCCGACCAGATTCCAGTAAACGCTGAAGACGTGCCAAAAACGGCAATCACCACACCGTTCGGTCTGTTCGAATTTCTCAAAATGCCTTTCGGTTTGAGAAACGCAGCGCAAACGTTCCAGAGATTCATAAATGAGGTGATACGCGGACTCGATTTCTGCTACGCCTACATTGACGACATCCTGGTAGCATCTCACAACGTTGACGAACATAAAGCACATTTAACAGCTTTGTTCCAGAGACTCAGCAAATACGGAATTCAACTAAACCCAGCAAAATGCGTGTTCGGAAAAGAAACCGTAGCATTTTTGGGCTACCAAGTATCAGCAGAAGGGACACGCTCACTCAAGGCGACATCCGAATTCGGAGACCTCTCTCTCCTCGGTACACGGAGCAATCCGTAATTCCGAGAGCCGAGACGGTTGCCACCACCAGCACACCAGAGACTCGATCCATCGCAGTACAGACTCCACCGCAACGCAAACCTCGCCGCCGGGATGCAACACGCACCCTCGTATGAATCGTCCTGTTAAGGACTCGATTCCAACCACGCAGACGCGGCCGGTAATATCTTACCGCGCCCGTCACCTTTCATTCGAAACTCGCGGCCTTACACTCTGCCGCGAGTGCGCCGCTGGCGCACTCAAGTTACACACACACTTGTACATACATACTTCTCTCTGACAAAGAAATAAATGCATTTCTACACCATTGACTCTCTCTCACTTCTCACCAGTCGAACACAATCCATTAGGCTCTCCCGCCTATAAACTGGTGACCCCGACGACTGGTCGAGAAAGATGAGCCAATCAGAGAAAACGGGCGAGACGCAAGACAGCGACGCAGCGCAAATCAGAGAAGATTAACCAACGGGCGAGTTTGTGGATCATTTGCATTATA